CTGAAGATATGGTGCTAAGGCTTGATCTACACTAAGCTGTTTGACTGCTGGGCCTTTTGTACTGTAGTCTGTAGATTGTCTTAACCACCGTGTCTCTGAGGTTGCAGCTAGTGAGCCAGGGACATGTCCTTGCCTTGTAGTGACTCTGCACTGCAGCAGGTGTCTTCCAAGATCACAGCCCATCCCAAGACCCAGAGAGAGCCACCCTTCCTTCCCAGACTGAACACCAGGTGACTGTGCCTAGGGTATTGTTCTCCACAAGGGCCCCAAAGCCTGACTATCTGTGCCCTATTCCAAGAGAAAAAATCCTCTCGTCTAGGAGAAACTACAAGACACTGAAATGTTGAGAGCCTATTAACTGCTTGCCGTGTCATAGACCTGGCTTCAGATTTAATTGTGATAACACCCCAAGGATACAAGTGCTGCTAAGTGGTGTGACTGAAGCAAAGGGACGTCCAGCAAGGCTGTGACCCAGGAAAGCTTTGCATTTAGGTCTCCAGCATGGGCCCACCTTACCAACCTTTCTCACAGTCCTTTTCCAGCTTCCCTCCACTGCCGCATGCTAGCCTGGCGCCCGCCCTTTGTCCTTACCCGACATTGCACAAAATCTTCCAGTTCCCATTGCCTGTAATTTGACTAAGCACCATGGGTAATGCATTTTCTCTGTCCTGAGCACAAGAGCAGGAAGAATAGATGTAGAAAGAGTTAGGTTGTGTACCTGAGCAAGCAATAGAGCAAACAGCAAGGGTTGCCAGTTCCGTTCCTTCAGGAGGAATAGCCATCTCCAACAGGGCAGGCAGGGAAAACTTCATAGGTAGAAATAAGTGGTTTGGATCGGGGAACGTGCACATGGTGGGGAGGGGGTGCTGTGTATGACCCCATCAGGCACAAACTGGGGAAGGGAACCCAGCATTGGCACAAAGGGTTATGGTATTATCCTGGGGTTGGACAGCTCTATCAGAGGATGCTCCTGAGCAGATGATCAGAACAGCCATCTGTGTATCCAGAAGTTCAGGGGCTTCCTCTGCCCCGATGATGCCCTCCCTTCTCCCACAAGTCTGGAGATTGGCTTCTTCTCTTTGCATCTGCACTCTCTGCCACCCCCATACTTTGTCAATGTTTATAGGATGCATCCACAGGCATCTCTAGCCCCCTATAGTTTTCTGCAGATCACTGCACCCCTGAGTCCCATCCGAGAAGGTCTCATAATCCAATTGGAACTTCCAGTCTGCAGCTTAACTCCCTTGGCTGTGGTTTGCTAAAATGCACGGCTCCTTCTGGTTTCCTGGTCTGGGAGGGTTTTATCCACTGACTCCTTAAAGGACAAGAAGTCACCTGAGCAGAGGTTTAGAATAGGAAAGGAACTCGCCTCTGTACCTGGTAAGGAAAGAGCAGGTAAGTGGGATGATGAGAAAGGACGAGAACTGGAAGACAGAAGAGGAGCAGAGTGAAGGTGAGTGCTGGAGTATGCTGGGGCTGTGTGTGATCCAACAGCATCCGCACATCAAAAATTCTACACACTGGAGCTGGAGCATCTACAGGCCTCCCTGTCTGGCGGTAATGTCAAGGGAAAGTCTACCACTAATAAAGTGTAAAATGAAGACTCAAGCCCAGGTTTGTCTGGCAGCTCTAAATCCTCTGTCATAGCCTAGAATCCCAATTTCCTACCATAGCATCTAGCTTCCCCATTGCACACAGCCCCCAGGGGTCCCTGGGTTGCATTGGACACTCAGGCTCTATCTATCTACCCTTTACTTGGAAAGAGATGGGAGTTTTCCACATCCTCTTGCAGTGAGACTCAAGGTAGACATCAGAGTCTCACCTGCTGGGAATACATCACATTATTTACCTGTAGAAATAAATCTGTCCCTCCCACATTCTGGAGCTTATGGGGTACCTCCGCCTCTACCTGGCCTAACCTCTGACCCTTCTCAGCTCCATCCATGTCATCTCCAACATTTACATCTTTCAGGAGGCTCTTTCTGATCAACCCAAGGCCTAGGTTGGAAACTGGCTGGAAAGGGGTAAAAAGGGAAAGCTCATGGACGGGTTCTATCAAGTCTATAGATATATGGCTACTTAAGTTTAATGATAATAAAAGCCTGTTCTTTCAGCTACACTCATCATTTTCAAGGACTTAGTCCTACAAGTAGTTAGTGGTACCCTACTAAGCAACGTAGATCCCACGGATTTCTTCCCTCCCTTACAGTCCGGTTAGAAATACCAGCCCTACAGTAGGAGTTTGGGACCTCAACTAAGATATGGATAAAGAGTGAGGAGCAGGTTTGTGGATTTGAAGGGAATGTTCACTTCAGGTTGATTTGAGTTTAAGGGTTCTCTAGGACCCCCCATGTGGAGGTGTCCAGTAAGAAATCAGGGTCTCAATTTTTAGAACTCCATCCTTAGGCACTTTGCACAGGTGGGAATCTATTAGAGATCCACTTCCAGCAGTTACAAGGACTCGCCCCCTTTAAATCCAATCAAAAACATCCCTACACAACTGAAAAGGCAGGTGTGTCCAAATGAAGCTCAAGGTGTATGTGTCTGTCTAGGGCAACTCGTGAATACAGCAGACAGCAAACTGAGCCCAATCTATCATCTCTATTAGCTTTGAGAGGAAGTGATTCAAAGAAGCAGGGATCTAAGAACCTCCGTGCAAAGTCAGGATCATCGAAGCCAAAGGGATTTACAGGCGCAGTCCTGACCACACTTCTAGGACACCTTTGCCATGTACTGGATAATGACTGCCAAAGCATTTTCCCCCAACACCTTTCTTCTAGGTTATCCTTACACCCTTCCTTACGTGATAAGCCAGGTATCATCCCATTCTATGCTCCATCATTACCATTCACATGTGTTGCCCTGTACCAACCCAGATATAAATATGCAGTCCTTACATCTCTTCTAGAATTCTAGACTCAGAGCCATATCAGTATTCTAGATTCAAGAGGGACATACAGACCTGCCCCTCTCCTCCCTTCTGCTGATTGTTTTAGGAGAAAGAACCAGGGGTATTTTCTTAATTGCAGCAGGCATAGAATAGGGATAAATAATTTGTTGAATATTCCCAGAACCCAGGAGTTTCTACTACTTCTCTGGGGAAGACTTCCTACCTCCCCTGTGCCATAGGCATGGTTCTGTTGAGAAAGGTTCAGAGAAAGCCTTGGGTATGCCCCCTGGTGGTCAACCTAAGCCCTGGCTGCTCCACATCAGAGTCATGTTGCTCACTAACATCAGGGTCTGCCCCTGAAGACTGTGGTTTAATTGGTTGAGGATATATTTGAAGAATCCCTCATCAGGATATTCTAATGTGTAGACTAGCCTGATAGTTACTTCTCGAGGACACAACCCAGCCAAGTGATGACCCCAAGCTTACCATTGGTTGTCTCCAAACTGTCCAGAGCCCAGCTGGAACTGTTCTAGAGAAGACAGCACAGGAAGTGAGGCTGCCAAAATGAACTCAAGCCCTAGGCAGGGTACCACATAGGATAGCAAGTCTCCTTTGCCCCATCTTTCACCCCAGGATGATGCCAGTGTGCTGATGGGGTGGGGGTGGGGATGAGGCAGAAGGGAGAACCTGCCGTCCTCATACACTTCTAACAGCCATTGACTCACTGACCACTGAATCAGACCTACCAACACACACAGTGGACATTAGCAGCCTTGGCCCTTCCCCAGCCTGCCCACAACTGGTGGTTAGACCAATGGATTGGTGACCTGTATTTGTTCATAGGAAGTAGTTCTCTGAGTAGCTGATAAGGAAGAAGGATACTGCAGCTCTACCCCAAGTCCACATAAACCCCTTGCACCACCAACTTCCTCTCAGCCGCCCTGCCTCTTCCCTTGCATTATTTACACACAAATTATAAAGACAAACAAGTATTATACATTTATCCCTCCATCTCCTGTTGGATACCCTGCCTACTCCCTTACATGGATTCACAGATGCTTTCTCTATGCATACATGCACTATGCATACCTCTACAGTTTCTCTTCGCTGCTGTACCTCTTTTCACATAAACACACACAAGTATCATATATGCACAATGTCCACACCAGACACATCACATATGCATGTACACACAGTCACCCAACTCCCCTCAGCTTCTCCCTCTCTCCTCCCTTGTGACCTCACACACATATATTATGCCCACATACAGCACATCTGACACTACACACACACACACACACACACACACACACACACACACACACACCATCAACTCCACTGGATCCCATGGGTACCCAGCTGGTCCACGTCTAATTGGGAGAATGAGGTCATCAGTTTTATTCACTCTGAGGTTTGAATCCTGACCATATAAATGGGCACAGAGAAGCATGGTGTTGGAGATAGGAAATTGGCATCCCACAGATGAGCATATATCTGCAGTTTGGGCATATCCTTCTACCGCTTCCAAGATATAGACTACCAGAGACTGAGACCAGTGCCACCAGAAGCTATGGTCATCATAGTGGCAGTAGCCTGCCAGTGAGTAGACATGTCCTCTGAGCTCCAAGTACATGCTCCCTATGTAAAGCAGGCATCTACTTCTCCTGCCCCAGTCTAAGGTGAAGAACCTAGAATGCAAAATTAGAGCTGAGAGGAGCCCTCTATCCTTATCTTAGGTCTTTATTTTGGAGTGTTTCTTGGGATGCAAGGGCTTCATTACTCAGAGGCAAGCAACAAAAGGCAGAAGAGGTCTTGAGGCTGGAGAGGAAGCTTATTGTGGTCATATAAGCTCATTTGAAAAGAAGGAAGAATAAGGTTGGAATGGAGATGACTTGGAGGGTAGCTGAAATCAGTTTTCCAGACAGTCTGTAGCTTCCCCAGATCACTGGAACAACCTCACTGGACCCTCTCTCCTTCTTGTCACCTAGGACACTGGTTCCTCTCAAGGTCAAATGGGCAGGTTGGGAAGTGGCCTCTCCAAAGCCACTTTCATTTTCCATAAACCCTTCTCCATCCATGCAAAGAGGCCCTGTTAGAGCTAAATTTCTGTCTAAGGTCCAGGCTCAGAAACTCCCAGAATGGCTAGTGGAGGCTCCTTGCCCTCCAGGAAGGTCACTATGCCCTGTTTTGGGCTGTGGAGGATCAGCTGCAGAGGTATGCAGACAACTCCATTCTTGATGTTCAGTTGGGTACCAGCCTTGATCAGAACTTTGAGAATGACTATGTTGCCTTTGAGACCAGTCAGGTGGGCAGCTGTCCAGGCCACCTTGTTGCAAGCGTGGACATCAGCACCATGCTCCAAAGGTGAATGATGCCCAGGAAGGCCCTCTTCTGCCCTGCCAGGTGGAGAGGAGTCCAGCCGGACTGTTCAGCACCACTGGGGCTGGACCCGCCCTCTAGCACCACCACCCCTCCTCCCTATGGAAGGCAGCCAGGTGCAGGGGAGTCCCATGCATACTTCTAAGAGCATCTAGGTCTACATGTCTCTCGGCCAGCAGAAGGATGATCTCCATGTGACCCTTGTAAGTTGCTAGATTTATGGGTGTTCCTTCCTGTTGCATGGGTAGCTCAAGTCTGACTCCATATCTGAGAAGCATCTTGAAGATAAGTTGCTTGCCCTTGGCTACAGCAATGTGCAATGGGCTGTAACCACTATGGTCAAGGGCATCAGGGAATTCCCCACCTTTTAGTAGGTGTTGGATGGCTCTATCTTTTCCCCTCTCCACTATCAGGTGCAGGGGTGTCCTCAAGTTTCTCTGCTGAGAAGACTGACCAGCTCAATATAGCCAAAGCAGGCAGCCACGTGGAGGGGCGTCTTACCCTCAGCCTCCTGTGGGTTGAAACCTGCCTGTCAGGAGGCCAGAAGCTGTGCCACATTCTCAAAGTTATTCTGTGCAGCTAGGCTGAGTGGGGTCCAGCTCTCATGCTCCTGGGCATCCACCAGGGTCCCATGGTTCAGGAGCAGATGGGCAATATGGTCATCCCTATTCTGGGCTTCAAAATGCAGTGGGGCCCAGTCATCCTCATCTGCCAAGTTGGCATCAGCACCATGTTCCAGGAGCAGGGCACAGAGGTCAGGTTGCTGGTCCTGGGTGGCAATGAGGAGTGGTGTATAGCCAGACATCGTCTGGCGGTCCATGTCAACTTTATGGGACAGCAGTTGCTTCACTTGCTCTAAACCACCCTGGGCCACTAGGAAGTAGAGGTACCATCTATGTGTTCATAGACATGTAGTTCTTCATCACTTGGGGCCAAGCTCTTGATGTCAGAGAGCTGTGGGGTTCACTTCAAGGAGTCACCAGAGCCTGCTAAGATAAAGGGATGGGTTGAAAAAAATTAGATCCATAACCTGGTCAGAGGTCACCTTATGTATCCCCCTGCCTTCTGGAGACAGTTTGCAGAGACAGCCTAGACTTGAGGGCAATAGCTTTCTTGGGCCACTGATTCCATTAGAGCTTGGAGCCCGTGGGTTTTACAGAGGAGGCAGGATGGAGCTGGAGCCAGGAGGCCTGAATGAAAATCCCTACTCCACCTCTGAACATCCCCTGGCTCCTGTTAGTTCTCAGCCTCTTTAAACCTCCACATCTGGCTCTTTCAAGGGGAGATGGACCACACTTGCTCACTCTACCAGTGGGAAGACAGATTAGGTAGTTAAGAATGTTCAGAGAAGAACAGGAAGAAGGCAGGCTGTGAACATCAAAACTGCACTAGAACTTGGGCTTCTGTGATACAAGACCTCCAGCTCTCGCCTCCTGCCACATCTATGTATCAGGACAAAATGACCACTGCCAAGGCCTGCCCTCTAAAGATTCTGAATTGTATGGGGTAGGCACTGGACACATTTTTTCTCATTTTTTTTCAAATAAGTCTAACACAAAGCCAATATTAATAGTCAGTGTTCTATCACTCATGACAGAAACAGGGGAAACTATTCTTAATGACACAAACATGAAGGAGAAACTGACCCAGAACTCCAAAGGCAAGGCATGGGTATTTTTGAACCATCCCTGGTGTGTGGTAGGCTTGAGAAAGAGGAAGGGGCAAGGAGGATGAGCAGAGAGAATGGATAGACCCCTTTCCTCCATGTGGAGTCTTTGGTCCCATCTCAGCATGACAGATTCACCACTGTGTGCAAGCTCCTTCTGACCTGGGAAGGCATGTACAGGGTGGGACATCAGGGATCAGATCTGGTCCTCCCTGTCTTTCCTCTCTACAGTGGATCACCCATCAGGATTCACATCCCAGCCTTCCTGGGAAACCTACCTATATCATTGCCCCTCCAACACATGTATAGAATAAATCACTAAGCAGAGAAGTTCTAGGGCTTGTCCTTCATTTAGAGGCTTCAGGGTGTATCTCTGGAATCCCCTGATAGCCCCTGATACTTCCCATGTCAGAGTAGGGACAGACTTGAAGGATAAAGCTGTTCACAGCATGACATCTTAGGATAAGGTCCTTTCCAGGGGCTCTGAGCCACAGCACCCATGTCCTTTAGAGAACAGTTGGGTGAATAAGTTAATATACCCTCTGCTAGCCTCTCAGGGTTGAAGAGTTAAGTGTGGGCTAGCTTCATTTATATTCCCCATGTTCCCCTCAGCAGTCCAGTAGCCTTGTGAATGACAGCCTTTGCCTAATCCCCACAGGCCAGCCAGAGACTATGGATGACACACAGTAGCTTCTAGCACCCCTACAGAGGACTTCCCAGCCTGCCATATCAACCTTGTAGGGCTGGCTTAGTGATGGCTTGCAAGACACCTTCCGGACTAGAGCTTCACACTCAGGGTCTGCCATGTCACAGGACTCTGGAGTAGGGACAGCAGCATGTCTGTCTTCAGGGTCACATATGCTCCACACAGATTAGAGGGAAAGAAAAAGGAGATAAAAGGCAAGCTCAAATGGAGTTCACTGCATTTTAAATATTCATATGGTTCACGAGTTCTCTTAAACATATTCCTAACTTCACGTATGTTCATGTATGCCACAATGCGGCAGGAAGCTGAGCCCTACCCTTGTCATGGCTGGGGTACACTTGGCAAATCAGTGACCCTCTAAAGGTAACTTTATTTATTTATTTATTTATTTTTCCAAAGTTTATTAAATTGTAAAAGTTTCCATTTCTGCCCCCCTCCCAACACCCTCCCACTCCCCTCACTCCCTCTCCTCCTCCCTCTCCATCCCTAAGAGCAGTCAGGGTTTCCTGCCCTGTGGGTAGTTCAAGTTCCTCCCCGCTCCCTCCAGGTCCAGGAAGGTGAGTATCCAAACAGACTGAATCCCAAAAAATCCAGTATATGCAGAGGAAACAAGTCCCAGAGTCATTGTCAATGGCTTTTCAGAAAGACTCCGGGCCAGCCACATTCAGAGAATCCGGCCACATTCAGAGAATCTGGTTGGATCACGTGCTCGTTCAGTCCCAGTCCAACTGGCCTTGGTGAACTCTCATTAGATCAGTCCCCTTGTATCAGTGGGTGATCGCACCCCTCGCGGTCCTGATTTCCTTTTTAATGTTCTTCCTCCGTCTGCTCCTCATTTGGACCTTGGGGGGCTCAGTCCGGTGCTCCAATGTGGGTCTCCGTCTGTATCACCATCCATCGTCGGATGAAGGTTCCCTCTGGTGTTGCCTTCTTTGCTCACGTTCTCTTTCCTTCTGCTTCTCGTCTGGACCTAGGGAGTTAAGTCCAGTGTTCCAATGTGGGTCTCTGTCTCTATCTCCATCCATCGTCAGATGAAGGTTCTATGGTGATAAGCAAAATATTCATCAGTATGGTCATGGGCCAAGGCGGTTCAGGCACCTTCTTCTCTGTCCAGAGAACAATCCGGGGATCTCTCCTTGGACCTGGGATCCCATCCATAATCAAGTCTCTTGCAAACCCCAAAATGACTCCCCCAGTCGAGATATATTCTTCCCTGATCCCATATCAATCCTTCCTCCCTCCCCCCATCCCAGTCTCCCGAGCTTTCCCCATTCCTCCCCTACTCCCTTCTCTCTAACCCTCTCCCCTTCCAACAACCCTCCCACCCACCCCCCCATGCACCCGAGGTTACCTGGGACTTTTGTCTATTTCCAATCTCCAGGAGGATAAGTACATGATTTTCTTCAGGTTCACCTTCTTATTTAGCTTCTCTAGGATCTCGAATAATAGGCTAAAAGACCTTTAATTATGGTTAGAATCCACTTATGAGTGAATACATACCATATTCCTCTTTTTGGGTCTGGTTTACCTCACTCAGTAAAGCGTTTTCTATGTCCATCCATTTGCATGCAAAATTCAAGATGTCATTGTTTTTTACCGCTGAGTAAAACTCTGGTGTATATATGTTCCACACCTTCTTTAACCATTCTTCTATTGAGGGGCACCTAGGTTGTTTCCAGGTTCTGGCTATTACAAATAGTGCTGCTATGAACATAGTTGAACAAATGCTTTTGTAGTATGATAGGGCATCTCTTGGGTATATTCCCAAGAGTGGAATTGCTGGGTCTAGAGGGAGGTTGACTCCCAGTTTCCTGAGAAACCGCCACACTGATTTCCACAGTGGCTGTACAAGTTTGCATTCCCACCAACAATGGATGAGAGTTCCCCTCTCTCCACATCCTCTCCAGCATAGGCTATCATTGGTGTTTTTTACTTTAGCTAATCTGACCGGTGTAAAATGGTATCTCATAGTTGTTTGATTTGCATTTCCTTGATCGCTAAGGATGTTGAGCATGACCTTAAGTGTCTTTTGGTCATTTGTAGTTCTTCTGTTGAGAATTCTCTGTTCAGATCAGCACCCCATTTTTTTAATTGGGTTAATTAGAGTTTTATTGTCCAATTTCTTGAGTTCTTTGTATATATTGGAGATCAGGCCTTTATCTGATGAGGGGTTGGTGAAGATCTTCTCCCAGTCAGAAGGTAGCCTTTTTGTCTTACTGACGGTGTCCTTTGCTTTACAGAAGCTTCTCAGTTTCAGGAGGTCCCATTTATTCATTGATTCTCTTATTGTCTGTGCTACTGGGGTTCTACCTAGGAAGTGGTCTCCTGTGCCTATGTCTTGTAGACTACTTCCCACTTTCTCTTCTATCTGGTTCAAAGTGGTCAGATTAATGTTGAGGTCTTTAATCCATTTGGACTTGATTTTTGTGCATGGTGATAGATATGGATCTACTTTCATTCTTCTACAGGTTGACATCCAGTTATGCCAGCACCATTTGTTAAAGATGCTTTCCTTCTTTCATTGCATACCTTTAGCCTCCTTGTCAAAAATCAAGTGTTCATAGGTTTGTGGGTTAATATCTGGGTCTTCTATTCGATTCCACAGGTCGACTTCTCTGTTCTTATGCCAGTACCAAGCTGTTTTCAATACTGTAGCTGTGTAATAGAGTTTGAAGTCAGGGATGGTTATACCTCCAGAAGTTCCTTTATTATATAAATCGTTTTGGCTATCCTGGGTTTTTTTGTTTTTCCATATAAAATTAATTATTATTCTCTCAAGGTCTGTGAAGAAGTTTGATGGGATTTTGATGGGGACTGCATTGTATCTATAGATTGCTCTTGGTAGAATTGTCATTTTTACTATGTTGATCCTCCCAATCCAAGAGCAAGGGAGATCTTTCCATTTTCTGGTATCCTCTTCAATTTCTTTCTTCAAAGACTTAAAGTTCTTGTCAAATAGATCTTTCACTTCCTTGGTCAGAGTTATCCCAAGGTATTTTATGCTATTTGTGGCTATCGTGAAAGGTGAAGTTTCTCTAATTTCCCTCCCTGCTTCTTTATCCTTTGTGTATAGGAGGGCAACTGATTTTTTGGAGTTGATCTTGTATCCTGCCACATTACTAAAGGTGTTTATCAGCTGTAGGAGTTCTTTGGTAGAGTTTTTGGGGTCACTTATGTACACTATCATATCGTCTGCAAATAACGAAAGTTTAACTTCTTCCTTTCCAATTCGAATCCTCTTGATCCCCTTATGTTGTCGTATTGCTATTGCTAGAACTTCTAGCACTATATTGAAGAGGTATGGGGAGAGTGGACAGCCTTGTCTTGTTCCTGATTTCAATGGAATGGCTTTGAGTTTCTCTCCGTTCAGTTTGATGTTAGCTGTCGGCTTGCTGTAAATAGCTTTTATTATATTTAGGTATGATCCTTGTATCCCCAATCTCTCCAACACCTTTATCATAAAGGGATGTTGGATTTTGTCAAATGCTTTTTTCAGCATCTAATGAGATGATCATATGGTTTTTTCTTTCAGTTTATTTATATGATGGATTACATTGATGGATTTGCGTATGTTGAACCAGCCCTGCATCTCTGGAATGAAGCCTACTTGATCATAATGGATATTTTTTCTAATGTGTTCTTGGAATCGGTTTGCCAGGATTTTGTTGAGAATTTTTGCGTCAATGTTCATGAGTGAGATTGGCCTGTAATTCTCTTTCTTGGTTGTGTCTTTATGCGGTTTTGGTATCAGGGTAACTGTAGCTTCATAAAAAGAGTTTGGCAATGACTCTTCTGTTTCTATATTGTGAAATACCTTAAGGAGAATAGGTATCAGCTCTTCTTGGAAGTTCTGGTAGAATTCTGCATTGAAACCATCTGGCCCTGGGCTTTTTTTTGGTTGGGAGGTTTTTGATAACAGCTTCTAATTCTTCGCGACTAACAGGTCTATTTAGATTGTTCACCTGGTCTTGATTTAACTTTGGTAAATGGTATTTATCTAAAAACCAGTCCATTTCTTGTACATTTTCCAACTTTGTGCCATATAAACTCTCGCAGTAAGATCTAATGATTCTCTGAATTTCCACTGTGTCTGTTGTTATGTCCCCCTTTTCATTTCTGATCTTATTAATTTGAGTGTTCTCTCTCTGCCGTTTGATTAGTTTGGCTAGGGGTTTGTCAATCTTGTTGATTTTCTCCAAGAACCAACTTTTTGTTTCGTTGAATTTTTGGATTGTTTTCTGTGATTCTATTTTGTTGATTTCAGCCTTCAGTTTGATTATTTCCAATCTTCTACTCCTCCTGGGAGAGTCTGCTTCTTTTTTTTCCAGAGCTTTTAGGTGTGCTGTTAAGTCTCCAATATGTGCTTTCTCCGTTTTCTTTAATTGGGCACTTAGTGCTATGAACTTTCCTCTTAGCACTGCTTTCATTGTGTCCCATAGGTTTGAGTATGTTGTGTCTTTATTTTCATTAAATTCAAGGAAGACTTTAATTTCTTTCTTTATTTCTTCCTTGACCCAGGGATGATTCAGTAGTTGACTGTTCAACTTCCACGCATTTGTAGGCTTTCTGGTGTTCGAATTGTTATTGAATTCTAACTTTATTCCGTGGTAATCCGACAAGACACAGGTGGTTACTAATATTTTTTTGTATCTGTGGAAGTTTGCTTTGTTACCGAGTATGTGGTCAATTTTCGAGACGGTTCCATGAGCTGCAGAGAAGAAGGTATATTCTTTCCTTTTTGGGTGGAATGTTCTATAGATATCTGTTAAGTCCATTTGATTCATTACCTCTAGTAATTCTCTTATTTCTCTGTTGAGTTTCTGTTTGATTGACCTGTCCATTGGTGAGAGAGGTGTGTTGAAGTCTCCTACTATTAGTGTGTGTGGTTTGATGACTGCCTTGAGTTCTAAAAGTTTTTCTTTTACACAAGTGGGTGCTTTTATATTAGGGGCATAGATATTCAGGATTGAGACTTCCTCCTGATTAATTGTTCCTGTTATGAGTATGAAATGTCCATCTCCATCTCTTCTGATTGATTTTAGTTTGAAGTCAATTTTGTTAGATATTAGAATGGCCACACCAGCTTGTTTCTTAGGTCCATTTGCTTGGAAAACCTTTTCCCAACCCTTTACTCTGAGTAGATGTCTATCTTTGTGGTTGAGGTGGGTTTCCTGTAAACAGCAGAATGTTGGATCCTGTTTTCTTATCCAGTCTCTTAGTCTGTGCCTTTTTATAGGTGAGTTGAGTCCATTAATATTAAGTGATATTAATGACCAGTGGTTGTTGATTCCAGTTATTATTTTGTGTGTGTGTGTGTAGTAGAGTTTATGTGTTTCTCTTCTTTGAGTTGTGGTTGTGAAGGGTCGTTAGTTGTCTGGGTTATTGTAGGCAGTGATGGCAATGTTGGATTCCTTGGGTTGCGATTTTCCTTCTATTACTTTCTGTAAGGCTGGATTTGTGGCTACGAATTATTTAAATTTATTTTTATCCTGGAATATTTTGTTTTCTCCGTTGATAGTGAACGATAGCTTGGCTGGGTATAGTAGTCTGGGTTTGCATCCATGGTCTCTTAGTTTCTGCAGTACCTCTATCCAGGATCTTCTGGCTTTCATGGTTTCCATAGAGAAGTCTGGTGTAAGCCTGATAGGTTTACCTTTATAAGTCACTTGACCTTTTTCCTTTGCAGCTCTTAATATTCTTTCTTTAATCTGTATGTTTTGTGTTTTGATTATTATATGGCGAGGGATGGTTTTTTTTGATCCAGTCTATTCGGTGTTCTGTATGCTCCTTGAACCTTCATAGGAATATCGTTCTTTAGATTGTGAAAGTTTTCTTCTATAATTTTGTTGAATATATTTTCTGGGCCTTTGATCTGCAGTTCTTCTTCTTCTTCAATCCCTATTATTCTTAGATTTGGTTTTTCTATTGTGCCCCAGATTTCCTGAATGTTTTTGTGAAGAGAATTTGTTGGATTTGCCGTTTTCTTTGACCAGAGCATTTATTTTCTCTATGATATCTTCAGAATCTGAGATTCGTTCTTCTATCTCTTGAATTCTATTGGTTATGCTTGATTCTGTAGTCTCCGTTCATTTACCTAGGTTTTTCATATCCAGCCGGTTCTCGGTTTGTGTTTTCTTCATTGCCTCCATTTCAGTTTTCAATTCTTGGGCTGTTTCCTTTACCTGTTTGATTGTTTTTTCTTGGTTTCTCAGGGTATCATTCACGGATTTACTTATTTCTTCAAACTTTTTGTTATATTTCTCATCCATTTCTATACTCATTTCTTCAAACTTTTTGTTATACTTCTCATCCAATTCTTTAAGGGAGTTATTCATATCCTGTTTAAGGGACTCTATTGCTTTCATAATGGCACTTTTTTCCACTTCTTCTGGGTTAGTGTGTTCAAGTCCTTCTATTGTAGGGTCGTTGGGATCTGGTGTTTTCATGTTGTTTTTCAGATTGTTGGAGGAGGTCTTGCCTTGGCGTCTGCCCATCTCTTCCTTCAAATGCTCTCTATTGGAACTTCTGGTAGCGGGTCAGGTTCCCTTGTTGGGCAGGGAATTCACTGATAGAATGCCTACCTTTCCTCAGGCAGGCTATTGAAGCACAGGCACTCCCTCTTTCCGGGATGCGCCTACAGTGCAGGCCCAGCATGCAAGGCAGCTGAGCTGGGGAAATTTTATGGCCCCAGTGGGAAGGGAGAAATATAGGAATTTGTACCTGGATGGAAGCTAGGATGGCAGGCGGGAGAGCTTAGCAGGGTAGAGCCAGCACTGCAGGGTGACCTGGGAGTCTATGGGGTCAGGAACGTCCGAGCTCCTCCTCGCAGGGCCCCTGCTGCAGGCCCGAAGCAAACTCACCCCTCCGATGGCCCTCTGGATGGAAGCTGGGATGGCTGGAGGGGGAGCTATTTATTTATTTATTTATTTATTTATTTATTTATTTATTTATTATAGAAGGAGACGGCAAGTTCCATTTGATCTCTAAGATGCTCACCCCTCTCTGTGTTGTCCCTAGAGGACCGGATAACCTCATCCCGTCCAGCCTATGACCTTATAGACCCCACCATACTCAAAGTCCCCAGAGATAGCTACAGAGCTCAGTGGCAGGACCAGGCTCAGATGTTATGGCTCCCATTTGCTGACTCTGTGTCCCTTAGGCACATGGTGAACACTCTTTGACAATCCACCCCCATCTGTACAGCTCAGAGAGTCTGCCTCCCAGCCCCACCCTAAAAATGTCTTATTCCTCGTTCTCAGGTCTAGTGCCAACGGTGTCTCCCGTCCCTCCCTCTTTAGCTCATCAGCATGGAACAGTGGGTACTTACTTAGAAAGCATGGTCTCTTCTTGGGGTCTTGGTCCCGGCAGTGTTTCATCAGGTCCAACATCTGATGGGCCTCCTCTGGTCATTTGGCAGAGACAGGCTGCAAGGGGGGCCTCATGCCTGCAGCTGCCTGGATGATGATGTTCATCATATTGAGCCCTACAAGGGAAGATCCAGGCTGTGCAGGTTTCCAAAGGTGAGACGAGAGGGCTGGCAAGTGGGCGGAAGCTGGAAGGATCCTGACAGGATGGGAATGCAGTAGGTGCCCTATGCATGCTCAGGGAGTAGACAACAAGAGTCTCAGACCTACTTGAAGCTCCGGTTGAGCTGCTGGGTTGCTGATACAGCTCTAGCCAAGACTCAGCATGATCTCCACATCTTTTTTCTGTGCAAGGGCAGCAGAATAGACAAGCAGGCCTGGGGAAAAGCTTCAGCTTTCCACATTTTAAAGTGCTGGGGGCTTGGGTTATTAGGATCTGCGAACAAGGTCAAGGTTGATGTTTGCTTACTATGACATAAGTTCTAGCATTTGTGGGATAGAGGAAGCGGAGTAAGGTAGAAACCATGAGGGGCTCACACCATGGTTCACACAGTCCATTATTCCTCTTGTTCTCCAACCTCAGCCTCCCACAGGCATAGAGCCACGAGCATCTGTTATGTGTATGGTTTATTTTGTGTGAGAATCTCCCAGATGACAATCCCAAAGCTGTAATGAGGAATATATTAGCTGGGAGACAGACGAGTATTCATGATCCCTAGCCAAGGGACACCACAGTCTCTACAATCTCAGGAGTTCCTCTCCAGATCCTTCTCAACTCTTCCCCTCTATCAGCACCTGGAGGAACTGTTCCTGATCCTCGTCCTGCCCTATCTGCCAGGCATAGGGACCTGGCTGGGGTAACAGTCCATCATACGACGTAGAACCTAGCTGCCCACTCATCTGTACACATCATATTCAGGCCCTGGAGCCCTGCTATTCTCCAGGAACGTTTCAAGAGGAATGTAGCTGAGTGTGACCCTCAGAGCCGATCTCTCAGTGTACTGCATGTGGGTTGACTGCTGCATCAACCTGGACAGGCCAAAATCTGAAATCTGGAAGAAAACCAAATGCCAAGGACAGGGTAGCAACAGCCACCTTCCAGAGGCCATCTGCAGCTCCTCCAGGCTGCCTTTATCAGTATATGCTGTTCTATTAATCACATATGATTTCAGCTTCACTGCCTTCCAGCTCTACTACCCACTCCCTAGATGGTCTTGAACCATCTTCTCCATGCGCCAATTTCCTCATCTGTAGGATGAGACCCTATAGATCTTCAGGTGCCTTGTTCTTCTCATTTCCGTGGGTTCTGGGACACTCACAACATCTGTTTATCCTTCTCTGCTTCCAGACTTTGAGACTCATTTACCATTCATTAAGGGACAAGGAAATGGGGTTCGGAGTCAGCTCTTTAAACCACACACCAGCATGAGGGGTGGGCATTCAGATAGAGTGTTCATACATTAAGAACATATTTTATTCATTTTTGAGACACTTTCCCTGCTTCAGAGAGCTGTTACTTCACTTTGCTCAACCTTAAAAAATTAAGTCTCATTGAATGCTTATATACTGCCACTAGGGTCAGCAAGATGAAGTAACAAAGATTTCACGGGAGTATGTAAGAAGTATATAAGTATATATTGAGATAGATTGAGAAAGTTCTCCCCAAGGAGGTGATGATCAATCTGAGAGCTATGATTAAGACTTTCTAGATAGAGAGAGAGTTGGGAAACAGAATGTGCAAAGGCTCTTGAAGGCAAAAAGGATTACTGAAGGTTTTGAGCACTGAAGAAAAAGGCCATTATGGTTTAATGAAAATCTCCTTTGTACATATTCCTTCTCCAGACAAAGAACGTGAAGGGTAGAGATTATTTATCAATCTCAGAAGTGTGGCCCAGAGAGCACTGATAAGGGTACCACAACCCACAGTCTCATGTCACAAAGTTGTCTGCTCACCCGTTTCTGTTTTACTATCTAGCCAAACAGAAAATGGCTCAAACTCTTAGCGGGTTCAGTGATTGGCAGGTAGATAATCCTGCTACATGGAGGAGGACTGGCATACATCACCTTGACATGCATGTTGCTGTCCAGTAAGATGTTGCCTGGCTTGAGGTCCAGGTGGAGCAGGTATAGCTTAAAGCTGTGGAGGAACTTCCTGGCCAAGCTGGTCTCGTGGATGATGCGGAACTTGAGTGGCCACTGAGGCTGTGGGTAGGTAGTGTCTTCTCCAGGGAACCACTGACCACGATCTCTAGTACAATGCCCAGAGGCTGCTTGCATACCCCATAGACGGACACGAAGTGTTGAAACTTCATCTTCTCCATTTTGACTGCTTCTTCAAAGAGACAACTCATCTCAGAGCTGGGGAGAACCAGGGATGGGATGGAGGAAAGGGGAACACTAATGACCTGAGCTACTGGCAGAACATACTAACTCAGCAGGATGCAAACTGAAGAGACCCAGAGAAACCTCAAAGCTTGCGAGGTAGTGGAGAGCAGTGAGACTATAGGAATACCACAGGAAGCCAGGACTGGGGCTCAAGCTGTTATCAGTGAAAAGGCAAAGGGTTTGCAGGCTTGGGAGTCTGTGCATCCTGCAGAGCCAGCCATAGAAAGCCTGGAACATAGCCTGCCATTTATCCTGCCCACTTGCTTTCATGTGTATCTCCCCTGGCAGCCTTTGAGCTCCTGGAAGGCCAGCATTATACTTCATGCTTCTATTTTGAAATAACATCTATTACTATTTTGATTATGAAAATAATACATGCAACCCATAGAAAGCCTAGGAGGTACAGAGAGGTGTAAAACAGAAAATTAAACTACCACTAATCCAACCTTGCAGAGTTGGTCTCGACTAACATTTTAGTGTGTTCTTTTATGACGTTTTCCAGGAATTTCTTTTCCCTTTCTCCCTACCTTTTGTGCCTCCCTCTTTTCTCTCGCTTCCATGCATTGTTATTCTATGGAAGCATGGTCTTTAGTGGATGCAGGGTAGTCCGTGCTATGGATGAACTATAATCAGTACTTTTGTGCCCCTCCCTCACCCCCACGCCTGGCCAAGCACTGCACAATATGTCTTTGTGGAAGTGAGCTGAAGTCAAGACTTAAGAGGAAGCCCTGTAAAACAAGCACCATGGGCCCTCTCTCTCACTTGCTGGGTGTGCCCACAGAATTACAAATATGCAAACTGTGAGAGACTGGGAATTGCAGGGATAGGGGTTAACAAGGAATGGCATCTTGAAAAAGCAAGATATCTGCAAAACTGTGCTGGTGCTGCAGTGGGATGCTGCTGACAGCTGACGAGATGCTCTCAGGGTCACCCTGGGAAACCAGTCAGAGGGTCTGGACTCTAGGAACATCTTCTGTTCTCCAGGCATCTGAGTGGCTGGTTATTTCAGGGTTAGCCTCCTTTAACCCTTCTGCTCTTTCAGACATCTTCCAGACAGCTCTGGGGGTGTTTTTAATCCTCTCTCTTTCTCTTGGGTACCAGAGTAGAAACCAGAGTAATCTCTGCCTCAAGGTGGAAAATTATGGCTGCTTTAGAAAGCATTACCTCCAGGCTTAGTTCTATCACTTGAGATGTGTGTGACTTTGGACAGGATTCTCAGGGTCTCACATCTTTGCTTGGTTTCTGTCTCTCTGGCTTCAGTTCCCATTGCCTCCAGCCCTCAGCAGGCAGTGTAAATCTCTCTACTCTTACACTAGCCTTGTGCATATTCCCCTGCATCTCCTCCAGTCATTCTGTTCTTCTCCGTATCCTTTGCTAATTTAGAATGCTCGTCCCTTGCAGTCAGTTCAGGCTCTCTGCTCATCCCACCTCACTTTCCAATTTCTCTGGTCACGATCAGCATCTTCGATCAGACATTTGATGCTTAATACTTCATGTGTCTAAAGCTTGACTCTTCCTCTCCCCGTAAGACTGCCTTATGCATCCCAACCAATGCGCTCTCCACCCCCCAGGCCTCAGACAGGCCCTAGATTCCTCTTTGACCTCTGATTTCATTCCCACAACTAGTTTCACCACTGAAATCCAGTAAGGATCTGGTTACTTCCTACTACCTCTGCAACTTGCCTCTGAGTCCAAACCTCCTAAATGGACTTCCTGCTGTTACTTTTGTCCTCCAATCAAATACTTTAAAATATAAATGTATATAGGATGGGATGGAGACATGATTCAGCAGTTAAGAGTGCATACTGCTCTTTCAGAGGATCCAAGTTCTGTTACCAGCACCCATGTGAAGTGACTCACAATCACCTGTCTCTCAAAACCCAGGCAGAGCTGACACCTCTGGCCTCTGTGGACATCTCTGCAGACCTCACCTTCACACAGATACAATAAAAATAAATCTTTAAAAAAAAAACCCACTGCTCTCCCAGGAGCCATCCAACGGCTTTCTTCTGTCTCAGAGCTGAAGACACAGGTCTCTCAAAGCCTGACAAAGGTCCTTGTGGGCTCCCCCATCTTCACTCCTGACACAGCTCCCTGACCTCATTGCTTCCTAACCCATCCCCCCTTTTCTGCCCATATGCCAAGCACGTTGCCCCTTCAGGAACTCAGCTTGTGCTGTTTCCTCTGCTTAGACTACCTTCACTCACAGAACCAAGTGGCCTGCCCATTCATCTGCTTCAAAGACAACTCACGTGGACTTAATAGTGTTTTAGAGACCCATTCATCTGCTCCAAAGACAACTCAGATGGCTTTAATAATGTTTCAGAGACAAGCCTCAGTAAATGGCATCTCTACCTCAGTTCTATCACCACTTATCCCTGCAACATGCGGGTGACCAAATCTATTCTTGGAAGATCCCATTGCTTAAGTCTTTGGTCTATCAGTCAAGAAAGTGTCTAGAAGTCCTAAGTGCTATAAATAAAAATTCTATTTGTTTATCTACTCATTGCTTCCTCTATTAGAATCCAAGCTCCCTGAGGGCAGGGGCTGATGTTCTTGGGTTCTCAGGTTTGTTCACTTTGGGTCCATAATGGATGATATTGTTTCCACCTAGCTTCAATTATTCCCTGAAACGTATGGAGTGTGAATATTAATAATGCCTTTTCTATGGCATACACTTGACTCTTCTTGGCTGAAAGACACCTTATCCTCAGCATATGCGTGGTCCTAGGACGGTTCTCCTCAAACGTGGGATTCATGATCTCTATGAACCATCACTCAACAAATACCTATTTAACAATAACTGTGCCAGAAACTAGCAGTGAGCAAAACAGCGATGAGCTTCCGTGGTCCCAGAGTGACACTCTAGTGGGTGCGGTCTTCCCCTGGCTTGCCAGGCAGACCTCAGCACCCTTTGCTTTTGTGCGTCCCACAGTCAGGCAGCACCAGCACAAGGTCATGCTGCTTCTTACCTGCCTTCCTTTCATGCTGCCACCACTACCAGCACTATAGTCTGGGTCTCCAGCATCTCCTGCCTGTAGATGCGGGTCTCTTGACAAGAACCGCATCCATTCTGCCCCTCCAGTCCATTCCTCAACTGCACATCTGACTGTTTCCCTTCCACACTGTTCTCCAAGCTGGATGCAAACCCCTCAGTGTCTTTCCCCTGCTCCTTCATGTCTTCAGCTCCATCTCTAAGGCCTTCCCCTTACCTCTGTACACATTGTTCTTCTTGTCACAGGACCTTTATATCTCCATTGTATGCGAACTTCCTCCTCCCCTACTTAAGTCACACTCATACTTCCCATTTCAGAGAAGGTTTTCTGATCTCAGGCAAACTCTGTCAGAAAGAGCTCAAAGGACCAACTGCACACCATTTATTTCCTACGTGTGCCACAGGGACACACGCAGATTATGTGGTTAATGTCTCTCTCCCTCTGAGCTGCAAGCTCCAGGGAGTGGTAACATGTCTACGGTGCTCATCAATTCCTCCCAGGGTCCAGTATAGAAGTCAGCAATTAGCCTTCATCAAGTAGATGGATGGATGGATGGATGGATGGATGGATGGATGGATGGATGGATGAGGGATCTAATGAAGCAATAGTCTCAAAGCTCCAAATGTAGCCATCCATACATAACACACACTAGTTATAGTTATTAATAATTTTATTATTCCTTTCCACTCCTAAGAACTTGGGAAGGAATATGGGGGCAGGGAGACTTTATCATAGGTGCAGTATAGGCAGGTCAATACTATCAGCTTCCTTGTACTATTTATGAACATGTTTCTTTGCACGTGTGTGTGAATGTGCATGTTTCATCGCTCATATGTATGCATGTGAAAGTCACAGGACAGTTTGCAGAAGTCAGTTTTCTCCTCCCACTCTCTGGGTACTGGGGATCAAACTCAGTCATCAAGCTTGGCTGCAAATGCCTTTATTTGCCAAGCCATCTCACCAACTTCCCTCGCGCTCTCCATTTCAAAGACTATACACGGTTTGGACAAATCTCAGAGTCGTCTGGCCCTATTTCAAAGCCGAGTACTCTGCAGAGAAGAGCTAGTACAAAGGCTGCAGCTGGGGGCATTGTCAAATCACAGAAAACGTAACAAACAGCATCTAAGAAAGAGTCACTGAGTTTCCAATTGATATCCCAAGAGACTTTATGGGAGGACATGTTTTCATACTCAGGCCTAGCTTCTCAGACGTTTCCTTCCAGGCTGTGAGGGGAAGCACATAGCAGGAACACACGGTGAAGTCAGGGGCAGTAACAGAAAAGCATGGCTGTAACCCATACTATGACAGCCAGGATCCAAAACAGACAAATGTATGGGACTTTGCACTTGACTTTCCAGCAGGATTTATGTCAGCTGGCAAATGGCTTGGGTGAGTCCTGCCTTCAGTTTATCCCCCTTGGAAGACTAGCAGTGTGGTAATAGCTACCGGGTGATGTCCTACTGGGGCATCACCTCCAGTCCTCTCCAGCCTACAGGGACTGGCATGGCAAGAGGAAAGGTAATAACTTGCAAGTCATTGAGCAAAGAGGTACATTTCTTGAAAAGCTCAGTCCTGTCTAGGAAAAATAGACAAGGCAGAGCGTGTTTCTGCATTATCACACAAGAAGAAGGAGCAGAGCAAGGCAAAGAGGCCAGACAGACGAAGACATTTTTTGCAAGGTGGTTCCTACTCACCTTTGACCTCTTGAGATGCTAACAGCAGGCATTATTTACCTACTTATTGGGGGCTCAAAGAAAGAGCTTACTCTGGGTAATTCAGATCACAGGGTCCATTTAAAAGCACCCAGACAGTTACCATCCTCAACCCCAGCTCATCCCTTCCTATGAGCTCCCTAGACCAAAAGTTTGTTCTACCTCAGTCTCTCCTGTGTGGAAACAGGCTGTCAGCTACCTGGTTTCCTTCTGGAGGCACAGGGAGCATTTGATGGCATACTGGGTCCTCCAGCGCTTGTGCCTGGCCTGAAACACCTGGCTGAAGCCACCACTGGCTACTTGGTGCCATTCTCTCCACCCCTTCCCTTCCCTCCCCTCCCCTCCCATTCCCTTCCCTCTTCTCTCCCCTTCTGAAGCACAAGTCCCAGTTTCCTGAATGCATTTCCCAGCTTGCTGCCTCTGCTTCCTGCTCTTCAGGTTTGGGAGGGTGAGAATGGTGAGGTGAACCAGTGCTCCCTCTTTCTCTACCTGCCAAAGTGGGGGAAAACCAGCCAGCCCAGAGCCTGAGGCCGCAGAAGAAGAAAGTGAGCCTTCCCGGGTGCATGGTCACTAAGGTCAAGCATGCGTGTAAACCTCACGGGTCAGTTCGGTGGCCCACAGTCCTGTAGTAATCTGGACACTGCTGAAAACCAATAGAGCTTTTCTCCAAACCAGAATAACAGGTCATTTTCATATAGGAAAATTGCCTTGCTTGTCTTCATTCTCCACCCTCCAAAGGTGCTGCAGAGGGAGTGCTAAGTGTGCTCTGATAGGCTCCACCTCAGCTATGCGCTGAGGGCAGGGCTAGTCACCTTAAAGGAATGAATGCATTCAGGAAGCTGGGGCATATGTTCCTGAAAGAGAAGAGAGAAGAGGGAAGAGGAGGAGAGGGAAGGGGAGAGGAAGGGAGGGAAGGGGAGGGGAGGAGAAAAAGAGAGGAGATAAACTATAGCATCAGTGGCTTGCTTTTTTCTCCTTTAGCAGTTATTGGGCCTCATTTTTATTTTTATTTTTCAGCTCTCTCTGGTTTTTTCCCATCTGTAAAATAGAATGATTTGGTCATTGGAATATCCATTTACTCAAACCTTATACAAACATTAAATCTAAATGGAGCATAGACTTAAATATAAAATAGAAATGTAAAACATTTAGGAAAAAACTATTCTTTTTCCTTGACATTTTTGAGGCATGGTTTTACTATGAGTTCTAGATCGCTCTTGAGATCACCATGTAACCAAGGCTGGCCTTGAACTCATGGTCCTCTTACCTCTGCTTCCCAAGCATTGGGGATTGCAGGTACGCATGACTTCACCTGGTCCTATAATAAAATACTCCTGGCCCAGAGTAAGGCAAAAAACCATGAGACTTAATACCACAAGCTGGTTCATAAGATGAAAAAATTAAGAAAGTTAACATCAAAATGAAACATTTGCACTCTGGGAAGAACCACACAAGATGATGAGGGGATAAATGGCACATAGGGAGAAATATTTGTGAACTGAATCCCGGATAATCATGTCCTGCTGGTTCCTAGTATATATAAAGATACCTTCAAAGTTAATGACAAACTGGCAAAAATCATCACACGAAGTTATCCAGTTAGAAAATGGAGAAGAGACCCAAACATGTTTTCCTGGGGAAGATATACAGATGACAATACAGATGACAAATAAGGACACGAGAAGATGCTCAGAGTCATTAGCTAATCAGCAAATGCAAATTGAAGCCATGAAAACAACAACAAAAAAAATGAAGCCACTTTGGGATGTCAGTGTACATGTAACAGAATGGTTAAAATAAATAACAGGGCCAAACGCTGATGAGAAAATGGACCTCATATGCATTGCTGTGGGGATAAAGGATGGCCCAGCCACTTTGCAAGGCAGTGAGACAGGCGGCAAGAAGATTAAATGTATAATTACTAAATGACTTGGCAATTGCCCTCTGGGGAAATAAATCTCAGAGAAAGGAAAACCATATTCACATAAGAAAACTGCACATGATGCGAGTTGTTGTTCCTACGGAATATCAAAAATGTGTGAAATGGCAGAGCAGGTCAAAGGTTAAGCATGTTGAGGCGGCTGTACAGTGCGGAGTGATTCTCAGCGACTGTTGACAGGCATGATTTAGTTGAACTCTAAGGAATGACAATGATTTTGAAAACCAGTTTTAAAGGATGAACATATTTTATACCCCCATTCACAGCCCTGAAATGACACAGTTATAGGGATGGAAAACAGGGTGGTGGGTGTCGGAAGTAGGGTGGAGAGGAATGTGGATGTCGCTGCAAAAGCCTTATGAGGAAACGGTTCTCTGTCTTGACCTTGGTAGTGGCCCCATGAATCTACACGTGATAAAATCCTAGCAAACTTGCTACAAATCCGCAAGAATAAAATGGGATTCATTTTCAAAGGTACCAGACCCACCCGGATGTGGTGGTACAATCTCCATGGGCTGGGGTCCTAGGCTAAATTAAAAGAAGGAAGCAAGCTAAGCCTTAGCATTCATCTTTTCCTGGGCATGCAATGTGACCAGCCACCTCACACTCCTGCTGTTAGGGCCTTTCTGCAATGACAAAGGCTACCCTTAAATCGGGAGCCCGAATAAATACTTTAGTCTGGTGGTTTGTTACAGCACGCAAGGTAGCTAATATAAACACTGGCAGAGCTGTGTCCAGAAAAAACAAACAAATGAGATCTTAAATAGAAATGGAGGAACACTCAGAACAAAGGCTATTTTTTCTTATACGTTGGCAACGAATTTAACTGAATTCTCTCTGTATCCCAGGATTTTGTGCAAGGTCCAAACTAAGAGCAATGAAGGAGGAAATCTGGCAGAAAAACCATGTAAGCTGTAAAGCATTCATGCCGCGCATGGCCACATACGGTGATCTGTGAGAACAAAGGGATGAGCTAGAGGCAGAACTTACAATTAAAAGTAAAGCAGAGCATAGAAACCTGGAATATCCAGTCTGACCGCACAAACGGGGAAAAGTATGCAAGTGTGCAGTCGAGTAACTGGTTTCTGACTGTGAGATTAGCGCAGAAGGAAGGGAGCCAAGTGTGGCTCTTCAGAAACACAGTGTGTATGGAAGGGGCTTGGTAGGGCTCTGAAGTCATTTCAGAGATCCCTGAGGTTGTCTTTAGCACCTTGAGTGCAGGAAGAGATCACTGCCCAGAGTCACCTGGGGTCTCTGCTCCTTAAATCTGGCATAACATTCTTTGGTTAACTAATCATGGCTTAAGCAGTCCCAGCACTGGGAACAGCATGTGACTCAGGAACCAAAGGACAGTGTGCCTCAGTGGTACACACATGGTGGTGTTTCCACAGGCAAATAATGCAGGATCCGTTGAGTCCTGGCCTTCCTCCACCTAGACCTCGACGGGCACATTCATAGACATAAAACAATGTACATGAATCCTTAAGAGGGCAATACTGAAAAGAAATGTGGAGTTCAAACTGCTGCGGAGTCGCCAGGACCATCTGTGGTTGGGCCACAGTGACCAGAGTCCTGTTGTGACCTCCAAACTACAGAGCCATCAGAATGTAAAGCCTGCTTTGGAGAGCTGCAATCATAAGAGTTCAATCTGAGAGGAGAAAGTCCAGAAAAACCATAGGATCAATGCTATCTCTGGGGTCCAAACCACTTAGTGTATCTAAAGAGGAGGCCTTTGAAGTGAAAGATTGTCTTCCAGGTTTAAGATTTAATATCTGCTGTCTTGGTTTGGACTTGCTTGGGGGAACTGTTACCCCTTTCTTCAAGTTTGTGTCTCAAGTCCTTTGCATTAGGAATACTTACTCTAAGTCTGTTTTGCTACTGAACTTTATTTTTTTTAATATTTATGTGTATGCATGTGTAGGTGTGTACATGTACATATGTGTGCAGGTGCCAACAGAGGCCATAAGAGGACATTCAATTTCCTGGATGTAGAGTTACAGGCAGTTGTGAGTTGCTTGACATGAGTGCTGGGAACCAAACTGGTTCTCTTCAAGAGCAGCAAGGGCTCTTAACCACTGAGCCATCTCTCCAGGTCCCTGCCATTGAACTTTAGAAGGGAATTGCTTCTATTGGCTCACAGCTAGACTCCAGGCTACCAAGCTAAGACTCTGTGAATTGTCTGGATGGAATCGCAGGGCTTTGCCTTGTGAAAACAAGTGTCTGGGGATGAGATACTGTGGTTTATCCCCCCTGAATCTCATATTAAGTATTGGGCAGTGGGGGCAAGGTGAACATTAATAGGAGATCAAGCTGTTAAGAGGGATTAACACTACTCATGGAACTGAGCGAACTCTTGAAGGAGTGAGTGCTTGCTCTACAGCGACTGGGTAAGTTACCATGGGAACAGGCTTGGAAGCACCAGTTGCTTTCTGTGGCCGATTCTTCTCCCGTCACTGTGATCAAAACACTTGAGAGAAGCAACCTAAAGGAGGGGAGACTTATTTTGCCTCCTGGCTTCAGGGAACTCCACAGCCTCCTAGTAGAAAAGGCATGGTGGAGCCCAGCCATGGCTGCAGGAGCTATGGCTCTTCACAGCAAGTACAGACTAGAAATCCTGGGGGGGGGTGTCCCCAAATCAGAAGTGAATCTAACCTTCAAGGCCTACCCTTGAGTGAACCACTTCTGCTAGCCTAGCTAGACCACATATCCAAAAGACCCAGACCTCTCCAAACAGCACCCCAGCTGGGGATCAAGTAGTCAAGTTCTTGAGCCAGGAGGGGACATTTTACATTCAAATCCTGGTGGTTGTCATGTCTGTCTCTTCAGCATGCCTGCCTCCTTTCCCACATCCCAGCCATGGTATGCCTCAATACAAGGCCCTGAGTAGATGCATCAGTGCAATCTAACCCTCTAGAACATGACCAAAAACAAGCCGTTACTCTTCATAAATGATTTGATCTGTGGTGTTGGGTTATAGCAACAGAAAATGAACTAGTCAGCAGCACCTGAAATACGTGACTTAAACATGGAAAAGGCATGGCTCCCCAGAAAAACCATGGTGTCGCTACCAGAACAGGGGGGATTTCTGCTGCAACCTGAGAATCAAACAACACATTGATAAATCTCCAAGGCGATAAATAGCAAACCAAAGGCCCAGGCCCAAAGCAGTAGGCTGGTTGGGTATCCAGAGCTTGTTTGGATTGAACTGGGGTCTCTGCTGTTTGGTTTATGCTGGGCCCAAAGCTTCCCTATAAGTAGCCTACTGGGGGCCAGTTTTTCTAGCCGCCCACTGCAGAATATTTGCCACTGCCTCTGCAGAGAGGATTTTCTGTTCTCATTGCTGCCAGTGATAACAGCAGCAGCCCCTTTATTTGAATGTCCGTGTTTCAAAGCCATTCCTGCTTCAGTCCATGACCTGAATTTTGTACGATTCCATTAGTTCTGAGAGGCAAAGGAAAAGAGAAACCCTCATTTCTTTGTTGCTGCTTTAGTGATCTGGAGGCTAGATATGTGGAGCAATCAGGACTAGAAGACCAAACCCACAGCATTTAAATGGTGAAAGTCTCCTAGATAAACATGGAAGGGCAAGAGGAGATCAGATCTTCTTAGAAGTTATTCATGACTGT